TTATTTATGTTTTTTTATATATCTTTCTTTACACTTAAAAATAGACTCTGATTCCTTGGCAACATAAATAATTTAACTAGGAATTGTTTAGAATTTTTATCTCAGTATTTACATCAATTATCTTGTTTGATTTCTATGCATCTATTAAACATAAATACTTTAAAAAATTAATATAAAATAAAACAAATACATGTAAATATAACATATAAAATAAATGCAAAACAAAATAAAAATGATTTTTCTACGGGTAGATAAAAATATTTTGATATTAAAAGGTTCTTCTATTGATAAATGGCACTTTTGTGACCAGTAAAAGAAATAATGAGAACTATAAACGACGACAGTTATGCAAACAGATAACATAGATAAACATTGGATAATATATGTATATATTTCTTATAGCATTTAAGCATAACTTGCATACTTCACAAATTTGTGTGAGAATATAAATCAGACATTTATTTTTGATTTAGAACACTTCATATGGATTTAATAAGACGATTACTTAGGACTAGGATCTATCGTTTATTTGTGATACCAACCGACACACATTTAAATATTTATTCACTTGAATATTTAATTATACGTATTTAAATATTCGAGATAATTCTGAACCTGGAATGCACGACTTTCTCCGTGACTAGATTCTGAAAACAAATGCTTCTGAAGCTGGTAATTAATAAAAATCAAAACAAACAATCTTTCCTTTTCTGTAATGTTCTATTTATAAATTTGGATTTGATTATAAAAATGGGATTTTTGGTATATTTCTTATGCAATTCTCTCGTTTACGTTTCTTGTATTGTCATATTGAAAGTACATATAAGAAACAGATTAAAAATATTGGCTATAAAAGCAAAACAAGTTATTATTGATTAGATAGTACTAGATAGTAGACTTCTCTCTTTTTTAAATGAATAAAAAAGAGAAATAGTACTTTAAATCAAAGAAGTATTAAAATTATAACTTGTATGGTTACATAAAAGTTTTATAAGCAATGTTCTTTATATTGTGATTGTTGTTGTAGTATTAATGGATTCCAAATTACATACCAATCCTTGTTTATAATTGTGGCACTCTTAAAAAGTAAGTGGAACGTTTTTAGAAATCCATACAGGTGGAAAAATTTTAACATTATTAAACAATGTTTACTAAATTTAATAAATATATTCTTATATTTATTTAGTATTGTTTAACAACATTTTCAAAGAAAATTACCACAAATTTCAGAGTTTCTTTAAAAACAATGGCTTTATAATTGATTTAAATGTGTGCTAATTTAACAATCAAAAAGAAACAATATATAAGTAATTCTAAAAGTTTTAGTACTTATTCTAAAATTCAGTGCAATTTGAAATTTCCAGTAATTTCTTGCAAAGCTAATTAAACACTCTACAATAAATAATTTGTTTTTATGTTATCAGAATAAAGTTATAAGTAAAATTAGCCTGTTCTCTTTTAAATATTAATAAATTAATCATAATAAAAACATTTTCTTAATGATACTTCTGATCAAAACATAGTAGCCAGATTGTGGCCGATGTTTTCATCTCTAAAACGTGAATGTCGAGCGCCGCTTACAAGGTAACGGTGCTCGACGTTCGACGCTCACGTTTTAGAGATGAAAATGTCGGGCGCAACCTCGCTAGTGTCAAAATGTAATTTTACATTCCCTTGTAACAAACTAGCAGAGTATAGTTGTCAACTAAAATGATCAATCGTCATTTGTTATGATGAGGGTTTGAATCTGATGCACAAGATCCCTGGAGATTTTTAGAACAGCTTTGGCATCGTGTCTCTCTGCCATTTCTGTAAAATAATTACACACAAAATTAAATCACAACATTTTTAAACTAACAAAATATCCAAGAACTAAAATACAGTGTAATTGTGATATGCACTGAGGATTGTCATCCTGGAGGATACACACAGAATTGTGAAAATTATCTCATAGCAAATTAAAATCCTGAGAGAAGCATTCTGGGCTAGTTGCAATTTTCCAGCTCATTTTTTAATTCAGATAAAAATCTCTTAATTTTAATTTATGTTTAAATATTAAAAACAAAGTTAAAATGAAATCTCTATACTATTAGGGAAAACACAATTAACCCATAAATATCAATCAGAGTATTCATTTCATTTTTTCAGTTAGTAATTAATTTTATATAAGTAATTTTTAAATCTGAACATATAAGCATTATACCTGAATTAACATGATGTAAGATTTATCTTTTATTATTTGTGTCTTATAGGCAAAATAACTTTGCATAAATCACAACCACACTGTTACATTCTTAAGTAGCATTTTTAGTATTTTACATAAGATTGAAACAAACCATTGAAAAACTTAATAATATCTGTAAAATCCATATTATTCTCCAGAATGATATCTCTGTAGTATTCAACCATTGCTAATGCAATGAAGAGTACAAAATGATTAGAAGCTATGTGTTTGGCAGCCCAAATTGTTTCCCATATACTGAATACATCATCATAGACAAGTTCTGTAAAAAAAATTTAAAATTTTTCTAAAATAATAATAATTATGGAAATCTAAGATTATTTTAAAATACATAAGCTTAGTTTATTAATAAAATTATGAGGTTAAAAATGTAGTTACTGTAGATTAGAAATCAATTATAAATTTTAAGGATGAAAATTTGAAAGTTTATCTCAATTTGAAAAAAATTCAGATAAACTAAACGTATTATTGATTATTTTATTTAAGATGTCTCTGGTGAAAATAAAAACTGTTTTTTCTGATTAGTTTTCTTAAATTTGCTGACCAAGTCATAAGTATAAGTCCGAGTAGACATCTTAAATAATAAACTATATGATAAGGACACAGAGGCATTTGATTTAATATGTTTTAATTAAATCAGTGGTTCTCAACTTTTTGTGAGCTACTGTTGCATAAATGATGCTCTTATATGTATAAACAAGTTTTGACATTGAAGATCTGCAGTTGATGTATTACAACATTAAATACAATTATTATTAAAATGTAGACAAAATTAAGGATATTTAAAATAATCTTTGAAATTTCATCACACTCTTATAAGAAATTAATTGTTTACTGGTTTAAGTAGTTATTATTAATTAAAAAAAAATATAATCATCATGCTGAAAGAATAAAGTATTGTAAAGTAATCAAAATCATTTAGTTTAAAACAATTAAGAATTGCAATTTGATTCTATCAATAGTTTTTTAGATTATATCAAAATCAAAATATTTTAATTTATTCATTTGACAAATTACTTGAAAATTAATTCAAACCAAGTTTGATAATTTTTAGTCAGAATATAATTGATATTTATTTTTAACAAGATATATATTAAAATTTAAATAAATGTAATATATTTGTGTGGACAGAATAAATGATAACCCTCTTAAAAAAATAAAACAAATTTATTAATCAAGAAAAGTGATTAAACTAGTTAACTGATTGACACTAAAAAGAATGAACACAATACTGGACAATAAAGAAAAATGTTAACAAAGAAAATATTCCTGAAAAGAATAACTGAAACAGAATAAATGATAACCCTCTTAAAAAAATAAAACAAATTTATTAATCAAGAAAAGTGATTAAACTAGTTAACTGATTGACACTAAAAAGAATGAACACAATACTGGACAATAAAGAAAAATGTTAACAAAGAAAATATTCCTGAAAAGTTCTTGAATGAAACAATCCTAGAAGCATGAACTGCTTTCATTTTAATAGTTTCAAAAGATTTGGCATGACTCTTTCCCATCAGACAAAGGTTTAGCCAACAAGAATCCATTCAAATGACAATATTATAAACAATAACATATTGAAGTTAATTATATTCAATAAACATACTGAAGCTAATCACACAAACAGTTTTGCTATAATCTTTCACACATTTGAAAACAGAACAAAAACATTATTCAAAGGCTTCAAGTACAAAAAAATGAGTCTCCAGATGGATAGATTACTTGAAACCTTTGAAAAAATTAATATCTATAAAATCCATATTATTCTCCAGAAATAATCCAATGGATAGAAAATTGTTTTTACAAAACAAATTTCAAAATCATAATTATAATAAATAAACATTTAAAAATTATCACCCATTTTTTCTCCCGTTTATATCAACAAAATTTACACTTTAGACAGCATCTTGTTCTATATAAAGTGATGAATAACATTATAATAAAGATGCACAATGATTTAATATTTCTGGTGTAGTAGAACTTAATTACTTTTTAATTACTTTATAATGTATTAACATTTTAAAATTTTCTCTAACAAAAAAAATCTAATAAATCTGTGTTAAAACAAAATATGTTGTAGATGAAAATTGGTTTAAAATTTAACAATGAAAGAAAGCTTCAACGTTAAACCCATTTACTTAGTAGTGCAAGAGTTTGTTTATTTTTCAGAATTATATTAAAAATCACAATGAACAGTCTGCTAAAAAGAGATGGAAAAATAAAAATTGGAGGACAAATAAAATATATTAATAATAATAATAATAATAATAATAAATTACTATCCATGGATAAAACTGTGATATGTTTATCTAATTAGCCCATAACATATTGTCACTTATCAATAAATATGATGCAATCTAAGAAATGGTACCTAAGTCAGAAAAGTAAATTTTGCCACAGGGCAAAGAAATGTGTTCTAAATGCTGTCAAAATAATCAATTTTTAGATTTCAATGCCAAATACTTTAGTAACATTTGGCAACATTTTAAGTTATAAATATCCTCTTATAAACCCTACTTAACCCATAGAATAAGATGTACTCAAAAAATGAAAATTGATTATTCCAACTTAAAGTACTTTTTTATAGATTGCATCACAAGTAATTAAAATTCAGTTAGTATTTTCTGTCGTCTTGAACTATTCTGTTAAAAAATAATCCATTAATATCACAATTACACATTCTTTATAATTTATAAAATGCATGAATTTTATGTTAAAAAATTTAATAAGAAATAAACCTAATGAATAATTCTATAATGCTCTAAAATAATTTGCTGTAAAATTTAAATTTACCTCTTTTGAAATCTAAGAGAAACCATCTGTAACAGAAATAGAAGTGTGTGTAGTCACCATTTTGATGCATTAATTCAAACATTTCAGCATCAAGAATCTAAAAGATAAAGATAATAAATGCTCCAATTAAAGAATTAAATTTCTTTAGACATAGATTAATTTAATAACCAAACAATAAATTAATAAGGAATTATTGTATTAATAAAACAATACTGCTGGATTTTGTTTATAATATGGCTAATTAATTATAAAGACAGTACATAGTTTGGACTAAAAGTAGGTGGTCAAGCAGCTATCTTTTATTAAATTTACTAATTAAATATTCTGCATGATAAGATTGGTACTAAGACTGCATGATTATCTCTAAGTGCTTTTAAAACACAAAGTCCAAGATATACACAGTTAATTCATTTCAAAGATTTCTGTGCAAGTTGAAAAATTATAAGTTGAATAAAATAATAACTTGTATATACAAGTTCCCCTTTTTACTGTAACAAATAGAGGTAATTTCAATTGAATTTTTTCTGAAATAATTCTTTTCTCATATTACATAAATAAAACCTAAGATGAAAATATGTAATTTCATCTCATTTATGTTAATTATAAAAATTGCACTTAATTTTTTTATCTGCATAAAAGGAGAAAAAATTAATTGTCTTCATATAATACATCTCCCTCAAATTTGTGTGTCTTTGTGAGATAACTGCTCTTAATTTGCATAAATCTTTGTCTAAAAGCACACTTCAGAAATGCAATCTGCACAAATTATAACTGCTCTGTATTTCCATTTTATAACTGTGAAGTGAAATCTAACACAAATCTCAAATAAAATTGTATTGACAGAATATATAAAAAGTGTAACATCCAGTTATTTGTCCATTATTAATTTAAGGATGTCTTATGATTTAATTATTACATCATCATGAATAGTTATAACATGAAGATTATACTGAATGATCACACAAAAAGCTCACTTGTAAGACATGTTTCAGATCCAATTTAAGTTCAGCTTTGCATCATATGACTGAACATACTCCATATTATCATAGATGTTTGTGAAAGACAATGAATTTATAAAGTACTGAAAAGTTTACAACTCTACCTAAATGCAAGAGAGCAAAAGCAATGCCATTGAGGGATATAGGGAGAGATGTTGGAAACTATAGAATGAGGAATGCTTTCCCCTCCTCAATGGTAGACGGAAAAGGTAGCATGTTTCTGAACTACCCATTTCAAAATAACAAATAAGCCATGTTCTGGACAGCCTGTTTCAGAAGTGACAGATGAGAATGCAAATAAAATTCATGATCTCATCCTTAAAACCTCTTTCTGCATTTTCTGTCAAGAATATTGCAAACATTACAGATTTTTCAGGGAAGATTTCTTTTTTCTTTCTGTAAGATCATGCACTACCCACTAAATGACACAGAAAAATCACTAATTTAGAGTTTAAACCATTGGACTACCTGGCATCTTTACTGAACCTAGCTCCCTTGGATTATCCCTTCTCAACATTGAAGAAACATATTTAAAAGAGACAAAATTTGCTTCTGATCAGAAGGTCCACTTATGCCACAAGTTGGTTTATGAACCAATGTACAGAGATTTTGCAGGGGTTGCAAAAATTGGAAGAACATTTGAACAAGTATATAGAGTTCACAGATGACTATGATGAATAGGATTGATTCAATTTACCAAATTTGCCTTTTCTTAGGAAAAATTGTGAACTCTTCAGTTTCCCTTGTACATGGGTATTGACAGAGAGAGCAAGGCATTTGTCCCCTGGAATTGTATAAAAATTTCACAAATTATAATGAAAGCTGTGATTGTGATACATAACCTTACACCCTTCATCATGGGACACTTTGTCTTTACACTGACGCAACACTGTATTTTATATAGAATCTACTTGTGAAGAAAACCCCAAAAAATTATATACAAATTTATTGATGAAATTTTTTGTCTCCAAGCTTTTCCTCCTGGAAAATTTTGTGCAGATACCCATAACTTTGTATATTATTTTTTGTCATTAATATTTTCATGTATTCATTTTCAAAGTACCTGTATAACTTAGATATAATTACTGATATTTTTTACTTTACCTGAATAAGTGATCTCATATTTGCAAAATGAGCATCCATTGCACCACCATGAGGAAAATTAGCAGCCATTCGTTTCATTAATTCACAAAAACAACTATATGTTAATACCTCTGTAATGTATACACACAACATTTCAATTTATTAAATTTTAAATTTAAACATATTCTGCATATATATCAAAATAACTTGTGTACCATCATCAAATATCACTAATAAAGGAGCAACAAGATCACACATTCCTTGCATGTACCCAACATCCAAATGTTGCCAGACGTAACTAAAAGAAAAAGAAACAAAAAAAACAAAGTAAATAAAATCTACTTTGATTAAATTCAAGTTAAAACTAATCAAACAAATTATAAAACATACGTGCACATGACATTTCTTAATTTTTCAAGATTTTCCGTTGTGAAGTACCAGTAATTTCTATCGCACCTTTGAACGTCTTTATCAATACGGTGAAGGTTTAAAGAAAATAAATCCAATAGTTCCATCTAGATTTTCAAATAATAAAAATAATTAGATTGAGAAATAAAAATAAAAGTAATATATAATGAGTCAAAAGTGTTAACTATGATATAAGAATGGTTGAAAATGCATATTATTTGTGAGTTAGTCATTTTATTGGAAGCAACTGAATCATGAATGATAATATGCAGCTGCTCCAAGCTGGTTTTAAACATTCTTACAATACAGATGGTCCTCTACTTTTGTACAATTCACTATTTCATATACATTTGTACTTTTAATTTTTGTTGATATATATGACAAAACATGCATACTTTCAGGTAATGATTCTCTCCTTCTCATTAACTATTAGTCACTAGTCCCTTTCCCACCTCTCTGACATTAATCAAGTCTATTTTTGGCATCATAGGTTCAGTCTTGAGCAGGGACATCTGGAGTTAGCCTTCATGCATCTTGACAAAGTTTTGACCATCATGGAAAAATGTTATCCCAATGGAGACTATAAATCTAATGTACAAAGAGCAATAGAAAAAGACAACATGTTACAGAACTCTTTATCAAGAAAAGAAAAAAAGTAGTACTATTCAATATCTCTTGGCAAATTCATAAAGAAAATACCAGATACTAATCAACGAAAAATAAATATTTTGAAAACCCCATTTGATGTTTTTTTACATTGCTCTACTTTCATACACATTTCAGGAACCAATTAGGTACAAAAGTAAAGGACCGCCTGTATCAGGATGCCAGATGTCCTGCAATGCTCAGGACAATCCTGCACAAGAGTGATTTGTCCCACGTCCCACAAACATTTAAATGTCCTGCAGGTAAAAAATTAACAGATTTTGACTGTAAAATAATAAAATAATGCCATAAAATATAATGGATGCTGTTATGAAATGTATTTCTTCCCTAATATATATGACTTTTGGACATCGGTGGGTGAGTTGCACGGTGACGGTCACGGGATGCATTAGTTGTCCCTCGAGCCACTCGGGGATTTTTAGATGTAGATGTCTATGTAAATAGTGCAATCAACAATATAAGTGCTGCCTGGTGTGATTTTTTAGTCTAATGATGAGTGCTTGATGTAAAGATAGAAATAGGTTAATTCTAAAGATTTGGAGGCTGAGCTGACGATAAAACAGAATTTTGGAATAAATTGTTCAGGATTCCAATTTTAAAAAAAATCAAGGTTTAGTTATTCTTAATGAAATGAAATAGGAGTGAAAAATATTTTCAGGACCCAAAATTTCCCCAGAATATTAGTTTTATTCAAAATTTCCCAGAAAATTGTTACACATCAGTAAACAAAATAAAACATTTTATAAACAAATTAGTAATTACAACTATATAGTTTGAAATGTTCTAACTAAATCATATAAATAATTATTAGTAAATAGGTCTACCATATAATTTTCCATGCAACACTAAACTGATAAATTAACATAAAAATTTTTTAATTAAAAACATGCATTTAATTTAAGCACTCTTTTAATAATCAGAGGAGAGTATATACAGTTATGAACGTGATGTAATATGATGATTAATGAAAATAAAATAAAAGTTATATGTGATTTTTACTGTAATGTTTTTTTGGCTTTAAATTTTTTTTATCACAAATATCCCTGTAAAACAGAAATCCGGCAAAGGGAGGTACAATAAATTTGTTGAAGTATTGTGAGACTAAAAGAACTCAAAATGAAGTCAAATTGCAGGGTAACAAAGAGACTGACAAGAACCATCTTTTTCTTGCATCATAATAACAATAAAAATCTGCACTGCAGTAAGGAAATGTCAAAGACACTTAAAAACCTGAAGTTACATTACAGATCCGGCATTATCAAGTTTTTGGTATTCCAAAATTAAAGTTGATGTTGAAAAGTGAACTATTAATGCCACAAGTTCAAGCTGCCATATACAAATGGATCAAGACAAAAAAAAAACCCACCAAAAACAAAGCTTTTCCATTCATGGAAAAGTTCTCTGATGGCAGCATGGCAAAAATGGACCAGACATTTCAAAAATTGTTCTACTCTAAATAGCAATTACATTGAAAAATGAACACAGGGTATTAAGTAGTTAGACCAACAAAATTGTTTGCATTGACCAGTGGGGTCAATGCAAACAATTTTGGTCCTACAAATGGAGGCTGCCACAGCTAGGGATTGTAAATTTACCGACTTTTTCATTTACCGGTAATTCGGTAAATGAAAATTAAAATACTGGTTTACCGGTAAATTACCGGTAAATTTTTTTCCTGAAAAATAAAATTAAGATGATAAAAAATATAAGTAATTTTGATTTCCATTTCACATTTTTTATTTCAAAGATATAGAATATAAAAAATATAAAAATTAAAGTGTTATTCTAAACAAACTATAATAATAACTTTTAGAAACATAAATAAAATAATACAGAAAAATAAAAATAAAACAGAAATAATATATAGTACCTAATACCATTTTACTGATTACCATTTTTTAAAAAATAACTTCTCAAGAAACTTAAATTATTTAAAGTCTTATCTCCTAATTTTGATCTAATTTTTGTACAAAATAATCCAGGTTAGGTTAAGTTTCTAGACTTTTTCGGACATCATCTTTAAGTAATAAAAATCTTTCCAGCATGTTTAGTAAGCTATTCCACCGGGTTCTACAATCTAAAATTAAAGAAAGTTCTTTTCGTGAGAGTAATGGGGATTCCCCACGAAAATAAGGTTAAAATAATACATATTTGCACAATCATAAGGCATAATGTTAGAATCTTGTAGACTAATAAATATTTGTATTTAATTATTTTAAACAGTTGTTAGAAGTAAAAAATTTATTTAAGGTACAAATTTTAATGTTATTTTGCAATAATATTTCATTAATGTCCTGTCATAATGTGGTGTATTCACAATTGCTATTAATTTAAAAAATATGTGAAATATTTACGTATTATTATTTTTAAATATTAAAAGAAGAGATATTTACCTACTCTTTAAGAAAAACGTTGATTGTAAAGATTTTAAACCTTTAAAAATCTCAAAAAACGGCAGAGCACAAATCACATATGCTAACTAGAGCTTTCTGTACAATTTACAGTGCCTCTCAAACCCAAGAAAGTTTAAATTAAAATTAAACAGAAAATATCTCACATAAAATTAATAATTAGGTATATTGTTGCTTACACATATCTGTATTTTTTTTTCAATGTCCCTTTAGCCCTTTTAAATATCTATAAACACAATATTCTCTATATAAAAATTTCTAGTATGAATTTTTCATTTACCGAATTACCGGTAAATTTAAAAAATTTACCGGTAATTTTACCGAATGTTTTTTTGTCAATTTATTGGTTAACCAGTAAATCGGTAAAGCGGTATACAATCCCTAGCCACAGCCCTCCTTATAAGATATAGGATCCTAAACTTTTGGTAGTGGTTACTGCCTGTGATGCATAAATATTAATACAATACAGAAATACATGATATTATTGTGAAACATTTGTTAAAGCTATGTATGGAATGCTGTTAATTCACTGTTCTAAGCATCATTATGAAAACTTTCTCTGTGAGATCCGGAATTTTATTAACCTAAACTTTAATTATTTTACTTCTGTTATATAACAGATTGGAAAAAACAATCTTAGCTGGGAACATTTGAAACCCTCCTTTCATAACTATCAACATTCTATTGTTCCCATATAGCCAGCAGCTCAACTTGCACAAAAGTTTATAGTTAGCATCCAAATTTTGGTCCCGGGAACACCTATAACCTTTATCCCTATAACAACCGATCACGTGACCAATTTTCCCAGCAAAAAGCTTTAAAAGATACTTTCTTCCCCCTCTCGGGGGAGTCTCTTAATGAAAGTCGAACCGACACCATCAAATTCCGTTCATCATCTCAGTCGTAAACTTTTATATTTGTGCTAATTTGGATTACCCTAAAACCCACTTATTGGATATCTATGTGCCCTTAATGGACTTAAATCATCGTGGAAACCTACAAAGAGCTATGCAAACCCATGTAAACTCTTTCCCTTAAGCATTTTAGTGTTGAGAGTAATGTTTGTAGTTTTTGTCGATCTTGTCTATTTTATTTGTGTACTGCCTATGCCTTATCGTTGACCCCGATTACTCTCCCTCCACTCAACAGACATAGAGCAGAAATCCTGACCGTCAAGACCAGAAATCGTAACATAGCCATCTTGACAAGTGGCTGGGAAAGGAGGTGTGACTGTCCCCGATCTCCTGGCGGTTCACATCTCTATGTTATATAATCTGTAGGGCTTTTAAGCCTTGTACAGTTTGATGGCAAAAGGAGTGTAGCAATTGTTCATATAGCATAGTCCAGACATTAACATTAAAATTTGACATGCAATTAGCAGAGGATAAAAAAATCATTCTCTGTTGTAATTCCAGTTTTCACTTTTCTGAGATGCATCAGTCTACATTTTTAAAACTGCTACACCACAAAACAAGGCACATGACAATGATAGTAAGTTTTGCCATACTACACCATGCCATGCAGAACATCAAACATTTAGGAAATGAAAGAAATTTTAGGAGTCTATCTTATAAAGGAGTTGTGGCAACCTCCAATTCATATAACCCCCTCTACCATCCACTTCATTTTGTTGGTCTAATTACTTAATATTATGTGTGTGTATTATAAAGTTATCTTTTAATTAGAACTTATACAAAAATATCTTTTTATGTTATTTAAAGCTTATAAATATTAATAGTAATCAGACTCACTGAATAAACTCCTCCACTGGAAGATACTGGTGAAATACAACTGGAATGAGATTCTGCTGATAACTTGTTGTCATCACAAAGATCACCAACTGACAATTCATCCATTCCTGTTTCAACATTCAAATTGTCTGTGTCCTCTTTCATGGATGTGTCAAGAACATTTTCATCAACATAATCCATGGGATCAATTGATACATTTTGATCTTCAATTACAACTATAAACGTTATATGTAAATTATTTTATAAAAATCTCATTATTTAATTAACTTCTATTATTAGATAGTATTACAGATTAAATACTTTAAAAATTAAATTTAACTAAATAAATAAAATTGACAACCAGGGCTCAGAACCAAAGCCAGTTAAAGCTTCCATTTTTTTGCAGGAGCCCAGAATTATATTTATTAAAAAGTTCTTGTCTCCAGCTCCAGACATGGTGATATTTTTAATTAAAGTAACAATAGCAAGTGATAATAAAAACCCTAGTCCACTTGTTTCAACATTCAGCGTAAAATTGAATTACAAATCATACTTCAGGAAAAACAGCAGAAAGTCCAGCTCCCATGCACCACACACCTAGAGATCTCTTACTTTCAGCTATTACATTTTTTACTTCTATAAAAATCAATTTTAAAAGACTTCTGCTTTGGAACTCCAATGTACCAAACTTGTAGCTGAAAAAAACTAATAAATATTCACCTGCATACATCCTTTCTTGCAATTTTTTACACTCGAGTGTATTGTCACTAATGCTCAAAATATTCAATATATTATGGCTAAAAATTGTTGATGTTTCTTCAAAAGGTACAACAAAGTGATGATAAATCAACAATTGATGTTAAATTTATACTGTGAATACTGTGTATTTAACTCAAAAGTTAGACAAAATTCTGATAAACTATGTTATGTTACAGAAAGACCTGATTATTATTATTATTATTCTCTAAAATAAACTAAAAATTATATTAATTTCATATCACAAGGTAAAGGGAATGAAAAGAAAATAAAACAATTTTAAAATTAAACTGTCAAAAAAAACATTTTAGAATGTTAACGTATTATTAATTATAAGACTAATACAAAATTTATTTTAGATTAGTTTAGCTATACATTAAAGACTAAAAACAAAGAAATTTTAGTTATCTAGCTAAGGTGTATGTTAACTTATTGTTTTTGATATAATATAATTACATTACTGTTAAGTTTAAATATAGTGTAACTTATTTTATATTGAAACATTTAAAAATGAGTAAAATTAAAAATTTAAGCTTTCACACTTTTCTTACTTTCATCAGATAAAGATTCCGATTCAGCTGGTAAGATAAGAGAAGAAATTTCAGTTTTCACTTCAATTTCCTATGTACAAAAACAAAACATAATTAAAAACAAATATTTATGTAAAACAACGATTCTTAACCTTTGTGAGTTAGTGACACACCAATGAGTCAAAGTTGCATCAAAGATGCTCTTAACACATAAAGAAACAATGACATTAAAGATCTCCATTTTTAATATAAATATATAAATAGTATTTTAAAAGCAGAGAAACAATTAGCACTTTTTAATAAATGTTTAAAATTCTATGACATCAGTTGAGAAATACCAACAAAGAATAAAAAGATTATGATTTCTGTACAATTAATTTGAAATTTTAAAGTTTTTCTGATAAACTTTAAAAAATACATATATTTTTTCTATCAATCAAATTTTATTTATTGAAAAATCGTGACAAAGTACAGAGAATAAAACATAAAGAACTGCAGAAGAATACAATGTAAATAAATGCATAATAATTTTCAATATTAAAAATATAGAATATTGTAAAAAAAGATGTATTTGCATAATACATTATAATAAGCAATTATTTATTGTGACATTGTCACAAATTCTGGGCTGCAATTTTTAATTATCTTTTAATTTTAAAAAAATTACACAATTTCAAGTCCAGAGTGGAAGTTTGTATAATATTAACCAAGGTCTCTGATTCCTAAGCTTTCCATATCTAATATGAACTTTAGTTGACTCTGTACATTATACTTTTCCTGATAACAATCAAGTCATACCAGTCATCTAACTAATTCTATTCTTGAGAAAATTCTGAATTGAAATCATGTGACTTCCAGTCTAGACCAGAAGTTCATGTTTAGTTAATCAGTGCCTCCAGCTCCTAAGCTTTCCATATCTAGTCTCAATTTTCATCTATCTAACTCTATTTTCAAGATTAATGAAGGACAGACAGATGAATGACATTGGAAATGTATAGGTCTGCAATTTGAAAATTGCAGCTTGAATAGTTCACTAATTTTTATATTTCTAATTAAAATATGTTAGACTAAATTATCCAGGACAAAGAGAAATGTCATTCCAGCTAATCTAGTATTGTTTAAATCCTGTAACCAATAAACAGAAAGGGTAAATTTTCAAAGAACATGAAGAAAATGCACATAACTACCTCACAGCTACTCAAAATAAACTGAACACTCCAACAAAGTATATCATTTCTTTTCCTTTCCTTCTGGCCAACAGCCTGTAAAGTAGATGGGTCACAGTGATTTGAAATAACTTAATGACTCATCCACAGACAATTTTGGCATGTTAGTTAATCTGCTTCCAGGCTAATGCAATCCTAGATAATCAAGAGTCTATTGTACAGAAAATTGAGTTATAAATTTAAAAGATAAATAACTCACCAATTACTCAAATTTAAACTATAAAGTATATATATTTAACTAGAATAACAAAACATGATTTTCATTTTGAGCAAATGAAACAGTTTTTTTTTTTTGAGGAAAATAAATAAATTGACACAAAACAGCATTAAAAAGCTTTTAATTCCTTTCCTTTGCTAGCATTTTTAACATTCCTATAAACATCGTCATCAGGCAAGAACTCAATTTGAATGCTTTTTCAGAACAAATCATTTAAGTACAGAACTGAAACAACATTAATCAAATAGAATACAAAACTTTGAACATAAAATTTTAAAAACATTTTTAAAAATCATGCAGTATCTACATGCATGCACTTAGAGATGTGGAGACAATCACATAGAAAGATGTAGGGAAAGTGGAGACAAGCAGTCAGTATTATTTATACACTTGTACAAATTGACCCAAACGTCAGGCAACTTGAGGGTGGGGGAGTTGCATGGGGCCAATAACATGGTGAAGAGAGACTCCCAAATGAACACTAGCAGTTGTGGTGAAAGGAGCCTAAGTAATACAGAACATTCCCAAAGTGGGTTGTGGCTATGCTGTAAGACCATCTTGGACAATTCAGTGTCACATCTTCACACCACCATGGAATGCTGGTGCTCAGTTAATTGATACAACAGCATTTTGGTAATAGCGCTTTCAAAAATAGTTGAAAGTGCTAGCAAAGGAATTAAAAGCTCTTTGTTGTTTAATGCCGTTTTGTGTCAATTTATTTGTTTCCCTCAATTATGTTGGCACGATCTCCAAACTATGTTTTTATGTTATTTTATGAAACTGAATTTTTATTCATGGAAATACTATTGTCCTTGAATAAAAACTCTGGATCAGTGGCATTACTAAAAAATTTAACACAAGGTTCCATTATCCTATCTCTTTCTTATCAATGAAATTTCTCTGTCAAAAAATGTGGAACTCTGCAGCAATTCAACCTGTCTATATCAGTATACCAGCACCAACAAAAAGTTTTATAAAGATAACACAGGAACCTAAAACTGCTTCTTAGCAGCAAGCAGTCACATAAATGATAGTTTTTGTCTATTTGCATTACTGTTATTATTTTTAGCTAAAATAATGTTGATTTTATAATTAAACAAAGCATATAATTAATATTTTATATTACAACTAATCAACACACTGACCGGAAGCTGCTGATCTTTGTCATCAGTCACTACTTGAGGAATATCATCAGACTGATCAAATGATTCTTCACTGTTTAAATCTTCAAATACATCGTTACTTAGACTTGTGTCTTTTGGACCTATAAATCAATTTATAATATTTATGTATGAATAAAAATATGCATTTCTTAAACAAATTTCATTATTATTTTTTGACTTTCAAGGAAATTATTAACTAAAATCAAATAAAAAATCAAGCAATAGTCAAAAAAGAAACATTATCAATTATAAAAAATTAAAACTTCATAAGTGTACTGCTTTAAGTATGCAGTACACTTATAAAGTGAAAAATACTTATTTCTCAGAAATGATGTTTTTGGTTTTCTTGAAGCCATCTTCAGCCACTGCAATTAGAATTCTCTGACTTGTAAATTCCATTAAACTCAGTATACCATATACAGTGGGTGAATGGTTAACAAACATAATCCACTCCAAGACTGTGCTCACTATCTGAATTGTTCATTAATTAACCGATTATCAATTTACCATAGATTTTCATGGGTATTCGATTAATTCGGTCTGGAGACCCCAAAAAAATAAATAAATAAATTATATACTTACTATGTTTATTTACATGAAATAACAAACTAAAACCAATCTCTCCATTTTTTTCATACGTTCCAATTTATTAGGAATCCGATTTCTTACAAGTCGTTCCAATCACAGCCCGACACGTGTCAAGTTTACGGACTACGGCTGATTGAAAGGTTTTCTTCCATAAAATTAATTGATTCTACACTAATCCGACTCAACATTTCCAAAATACGTATATTTTTTCATAGTTTTATAGGAATCGTAATTATAGGGGGTCGACTGTATACACAATCTTGCATTTTTATCAGTCATGTTGTTTTTCCATTTGTAGGATGTTAAAGAATTTGTCCAATGTCGATTGTTTCTCTCTCTTCAGGATTTTTTGAAAGTAATTAATAGCATTGTCGTCGTAGAGTTCCCCAAGCTTATTAACCTCAACCTGGTTTGGATGCCATTCTAAGACTGTTCTGACATCTTCCCACTTCTTCAAAAGATCTTTAATAGCACATGTCGGCATTGATTCTCTTTCATCTTCCTTTTTTCAGAAAAAAAAAGACATCTTGCTGAGTTTCTTTGTGTTCTTCTGTTGTTAGATCAGTTTCAGGTTTCATTATGGGCTCTTCAATATCATTTTTATTCACCTCCAATTCCAGATCTCTAGCAGTTATCACAATTTCATCCTTTCATGGGTTTATGCCCAGTAATATTTTTTTGTCTTTCGTGATGTAGGTTCGGCATGCGCTTCCAAAATAAACTAGTTTCATCACAATCGAAAATTTGTTGTGGACAATATCCATCTTTTCTAATGAATTCTTCAAATTTGAGACAGAACTTCTCAGCTTCTTCTTTATCTGCACTAGCAGACTCACTGTGAATTACCACATGTTTAATGCCAGTTCTCCTTCTAAACTTTGCAAAACATCCAGTGATAGCCTTGAATATTCTCCTCATTTGACAAATGTGGAGTTTGTTTCTTCAGTTCTTAAAAAATTTCTCTAGCTTTCTCTTGAATGATAGTTATACTAGTTACATGTCTTTTCATTTCCCTTTCTTTAATCCAAATTAAAAGCAATCTCTCCATTTTTTTCATGGATGACACATCTTTGTTTCTCAGATGTGATTTTCATCACTCCTTTAGCCTTCTTGATTATATCTTTCTTAGCTAAGATTATGCCTACTGTAGACCTATTCAAGCCATACTGCCTAGAAACATTAAACATCTTCTGCTCACTCTCTACCTTGGCTATTAAACTCTCACCTTTCGAAAATAAAAACCAACGCAAAACTTAACAAGTGCGCAAAGATTATAAAAAATTATTTGTCAGAAAGGTAAACAAATTACAATAGAGAGTTTTAAAGTTTGGAGGAATATTATCCGATCAGTATCAGGTTGAGTGTCGACATCAATGTCTCCTGAGCATCGAAAGGTTTCGAATTGTTACCCAGAGACAAGAAAAAACCAATTGGTATTCATTACTTTATGTCACTTCTTTTTGTATTTGTTCTGTAAAGTGTTCATTGTCCGATTTGCTCACAGTCCAAACTGTTTGTTAACCAATCACCCATTGTATATATTTTTCAGCTGCCTTAAATAAGCAGTATACTCACATAAGTTTTAGTATATTGTGGTACCAAATTTAAAGAAATTTGTAGGAAAAAATAACTAATTTTTTATAATTTATAAGAATGATTTTATTACAAATATCTAAATTATAGCAAAATTTTCTACTTCATAAGAATGAAATTCAATTACAAAATATTTTGTATTTCCTTACCAACTAAAGGAATTTCACTATTTGTACTCTCTGAAGATAGCTTTGCAAGATTGGCAGCCATAGTTTCTTTATTTCTTTGTTTGACAATGGCTTCCACTGCAAGCCATTCAGACATGATACTTTCATATGAGCTCTGTATACTTTTGTCATGCTGTTCTCTTTCTTCTTGTGAACTTCCAAATTCATAATGGCCTAGAAGATAAGGCCATACCTGAAAGATAAATTCAAAAATTAAATTTTTTTGTGCTATGTACATAAAACACAAAAATTATTTTTAGCAAAGATATATTTAATAATTTAATAGAAAAATGTATTATGAAATTAGTTGGTTCACTTACTTTTTCAACATGTTACATACTACTCATTCTACTTTATCATAGTCATAAAAAAATTTTCATGTTAACAGACTCAAAATAAAAGAATTTCATTAGTTCTCTATATTTATTCACAGTATAATATATTTCCAATTACATTACAGAATATATTATCTATTTACATTATATTTAATTAAACATGGAAATAACTAGACTTCCAATTTAAACAGATAATAACACATTTTAAAAATTGTTTCTATCTAAATTTATTTAAATTTCCTGCAAGATAAAAATTTAATTATGTTTCAATGGTTTCTTGTAATCTAGATATCATTATTATGTTATAAATAGTAACATTTTCAAGCAGAAAGTAAAGATTAAACGATAAACTGTAAATAATGGAAATACATAATGCTATTCAATTGTTTTCTACAAAATCATCTTGCCTGAAATAAAAAAAGTGTGTTAAACAATAATTAAAAAGCTGAATAAAGATTGATATGAAGGCAGAAATTGATATGTTGAATTCTATGTAAAAGAATAAATGCTTTCAAGCTTGAATACAATGTACATTATGGTATGTATATTAAATTATACATATCAATGCTAGCTACAGATTTAATCCTCATTTCCACCAAAAAATACATTTATTTTTAATGTACTAATAAATAGCAAAGTAATACCTCTTTTCTAATTTTGTGTTCAACACCTCCAAAATAAGTTAGCCTATACATCTCCATTATGTCCATATCTTTATTGCAGTTCATAGCATTCCAAATTTCAGCAGTTAAACCGATTGTAGCATCACAAGGTTCATCAGGTGAAATTATCACAGAATTGACTAATCCGGATAAATGCGTACGTACCGTACAAAGATGACGGCAGTGAGCCAACCCTAAAAAATTTTGAAATATTTTTAAAAATCAATTTGTTTAACTGTTATATTATAAAACAAAAAAAAAATTCCAATTTTACTTATTTACAATTTAATTAAAAATCTTAAATAAATTTGTAATGAAGTTAAGTAACATTACATTATAAATATTTTTATTGAGCTGCAATTGTGATAATTAAAGGACCAAGTCCATGCTACATTTCTAAGAACTTAGTAGTAAAAACTAACATTTATAAAAACCTAATACTATATTAGGTTCTTAGAAATGCTAGTTTTTGGTTGGCTGTTTGGTTAAAAATTTCTATTTTGTATCAATCATAAGGATGCTGACACTTTACCTATGGCATGTAGGTTCTATATGAAATGTAACCTGAACTCGGTCCTTTAATAATTATTTTTGTTTATATTAATCTTTATTTGTAATTATTAATTGTTAATGTTTTCTGTGAGTGTGTTCTCTTAAGAATACTTTTTAATTTTAAATTATTTCTGTGGAATTCGATATGCTTGTGTTTGTTTTATTTTAAACGATGTACTTTGCTGAGGAAGGCCTATAATATTAGGTCAAAAATGTTACAATTTATTAAATATATTGCTGGAGTTACAAGGTGCACTGTTCCTTTTATTATAAGTTTATGATGACAATTCAAGGTGCAAGGAAGGGTTGTTTTGTAAGGTTACCTTCTAACTGAACTGTATATCCTGGATCATTAATTGTGCACCTCCCATGTCACTAAAGCTTTATAAACTGTCAGAAAATTAATTTATATATAATGAAATTGTAATTAAGTAGCATAATATGCAAGTATAAACCAAACAGATATTTAATGATTTCTGTATTTATATTGTAAAGATTGCAGAAGTATTGCTACCAAAGTGTAGCACATTTTAGAATTTTACTGTAACTAATCATGTTGCATAGCTTCTGTACAGAAACAAAAATTTTTTTCAATAATTTTACATTGTTTTGATTAGAAATATGTTCAGGTTTGATACTTTGTACGTGTTGTTACTACTTTTAAGTAGTGTGTCACATGTTCTGCATGTGATATCTGTCTTTTAATATGTATTTTCTGTAGTCTTTGATGGTTTGATGTTTATGCCAATCATAAAACTTTCAATCTCTCTGAATATATATCTCCAAGTCAGTCTCCAACTTAGACAATATTATATTGATAAAATTGCATGAAGATTGAAATAAAAGTTCAGATATTGTATTGTAAAGATGGTATATGCTAGTTTTTCATATTTCAGTGTTATAATTTTGTTTCCATTAATACTTACAAAACCCTAGTAATCTTTCATTCTATTTAGAGACAGTATATTTGATAAATGAAAGTATGACACTCAGTTTTGACAGAGGGGGTCAGACAGGGATGGCAAATCTTTTTGAGACCGTATGTTGTATAGTAAACATACTTACCTTTAAAGATGTTTATGAATGCCAAAATTTTACACTTTGAATAACGACATTTAAAAAATTAAACAAATATGCTTTAAAATATTTATATAAATAAAATAAATGTAAAAAAAGTTGATTGAAAAAAGGATGATCAGATGATAAATCAAAAGGATGATTGAAAAAGATAGATGATAAGTCAAAATTGTATTATAAATTATATGCCAGATAATTTCTCCTTAAGTGCCACTTTGGGCACACATGCCATAGGTTTGCCATCCTGGAGTTAGAGAACTGTTGCATTCGGCCTTTCAAATAAATTTTCTATTTCGAATATGACTTAATTTATTTATGTAAAAATTTTCAGAAATTAAATTTATACTGAAAATTAACAATTTATTAATTACTTACATCCATAAAATGCCCTGGAAATAATCTGCCTCTTCATTGTGTCACACAAAATCTGAATTGACTGGCTAAAAACAAAAAGAAACAATTTTAAGTTTTTACTAAAAATTTCAATAAACCTAAATTATAAGACATAGGTTTCTAATTCAGATATATATTGGATTGTTCAGAAAGTAATTTCGTTTGTTTTCTGTTGAAAAAAAACACTGTATTTTTATAATAAATAAATATTTTATTGAATATATATTGACCATTTTGGTCAAATACCTGTCGTCATTGTTTCTGGTAGTAACATGATTTCATATTCATAAAAGTTTTGATCATTGCTTACAAAAAACTGATCCAAGTGATTTTTGACATTGTCATTTCAAGTAAATGTCTTACAGTTTAAAAAATTTTGTATATACCAGAACAAGTAATAATCTGAGGGTGCCTGATCTGGTGAATATGGTTGGTGTGATAGTACATCCCATCTAAGTTATAACAGTTTCTGACGAGTTACCAAACTTGTGTGAAATTTGGCATTATCGCAGTAAAACACTACACCTTTTTTGTTGATCAATTCTGGCCTTTTCTGTTTGATGATATTACTCAATTTGTTTACTCGATGCAGTACACTTTCAAATCAATTGTTAAATTGTCTGGTAAAAGCTCCAAAAAAAATTTCCTTAAAATTCCACCAAAGAGAATAACTCTCTTTAAAAACATGTGGAACCCATATATCGAGCTTTAAAACGAAACCAGTTTGTTTCAAGTAATCATAAACAGTTCACTTCAACAAATTTAATCTCTTAGTTATTTCACATGTTGTTATTTGGCAGTTTGTTTCAATCAGTACCTTTATTTTGTTTTCATTAGCTTCAACTGGCCATCCAGAACATGGTGCATCTTCAATATTGAAATTGCCAGAATGAAATTTTGTAAACCAGTTTTGGCACTGTCATTCTGTGAATACATCTTCTCTGTACATGTCACACAATTTTTTTCTTGCTTGAACAGCATTCTTACCTTTTTGGTATTAAAAGAGCAAAATACGCCGAAAATGCTGCTTTCGATCTTCCATATTTGATGGGACACAAAAAATAAACAATTGCACAAGATCAAACAAAATTTTTTACAAATAAGCCTTAAAATGCTAGCTGTCAGAATATATAATAATAACACAATTTAGAATGAAAATGGCGGGAAAAATACATCCGTCTAGTGGTAAAAAAAAACGAAATTACTTTCTGAACAACCCAATAGAATCCCTGTAAAAAGTTTTGGAACAGCAACAGCTATGCAAAGATTATTGATTGCAGGAATTTTATTTGTTAATAAATAATCCTAGAATAATAAAAATTCTAGAGATTATTTCTAATGATAAGAGCTTTTATTGTAAAAGATATCAAACTGAAAAAATAGTTTTGAATGTAAAAAGAATCTTGTCCAATCCTAGTCTGAAAAAGGTTTTTGAACATAGTTGAAAAAAATGTGTTAAAGCACTCTGTATTAATAAAAACATTAGTTTAGTTTATGCAGATTAATCATCCAAAAGTTTTATGTACATCTATTTCCATTATTGTTTCATTGCTTTAAAGTGGTCCTGTTAATAAACACAAAGGATTTTCCAGATCTTTGATTCTGGAAGGGAAACTCAGAGTAGTTTTTTCTATATGTAGTTTGCTGTTCAACAGCAAACTACATATAGAAGAAATAAGAGAAATCTGAAAGCGTAAAAACATTGAAGAGAAATGGCTGACCAGAGCAACAAGCAGAAATCTAGATCAGCAATCGGCAACCGATAGTCTGCAAGAAAATTTGGACATTCATCAATCAAAGGTAATGTGAAGTACAGGGTGACAATAATTAACCCGTACAAGTTTTTTGCATTGTAAATTTATTAAAGAAATAAAAATGAGCAAAACAACAGCAGATAGCAGTGACAATACTTTACATATTAATCAGATATTCAGTTGGTTTCAAAGTGGCCTCTTTTTGCCTTGATACAGAGCCCCAAATGCATTTCTAAATTCTCGGCGATGGGCTGCAGCTCTTCTGGAGACAGTTTGTCCCACTCCCGGCACAAGGATTGCTTCAGCGACTCCAAACTTTTGTGGTGCTTAGCGCAGGCCCTAGCCTCCAAAATGGAGCACACACTGTAGTCCATCGGATTCAGATCCAATGAGTATGGGTGGCCATTCTGCAGATGAGATGAAATCAGGAAAATGAGTCTTGCACCATTCTTGAGTCTTCTTTGCCCTGTGTGCCGGCGCTGAGTCTTGCTGAAATGCCAAAATGCTGCTGAGACCATGGAAGTACCATGGCCTCGAGAATGTCACGGCGGTACACGTTTTGATTGATTTTGGCCCCTTGATCGACGAAAACAAGGGTTTCTTGCCGCTTGTACAAATTCCGGCCTAAACATTGGATTTTTGCAATGTTCGATGACGGCTGACTATCAGGGAGCCTCCGCGGACCAGTTCCTGTCATTTTGATGGTTGTGTGCCTGTTGTAAGGAGAAAAGCTTCCTGTCTGTGAAGAGAATGCGCTCCCACTGTTGACCTGCGGCCCGATGCTTGAGTTGACAGCATCTTTGGAGTCGCATGCACTTATTTTCATCTATGAGGAGCTGAAACTTTTGGAACTTGTAGGGCTTGAGTCCAAGTTCTTTTTTGCCATTAACTGCATCAATTTGTGATTAATTCCAATCTCATGAGCAATTTTTCACATGGAGATCTTTGCATGTCAGTCAACTCGCTTTTTGATGATCTTGCAGTTCCTAGACGTGTTGATGGTGTGCTTTCTTCCATGTCTGGGATGGTTGTCATCATGGTCAAGCTTCTTGAATCGCTGAACTGCATCCGAGACTGTCATTTTGGGAACACCAAGCAAACGAACAATTTCACATTGATGCTTTCCTTGCCGGAATAGCTCCAAAATTGCACATTTGTTCGACATCCTTAAAAAAATAAAGAACTAACCCTTATTAAACCGAAAGCACATCTACATGGGCAGGAAATCACAGAGAATTAAACGACAGTATGTAAACTGGTGACGGTAAAAAAGTTCAGATGCAGCATTGCTACAAACTTTATACGGGTTAATTATTGTCACCCTGTATTACGAAAGAAATGCAAAATGCATAGTTGCTTTTTTCACTCATTGTATTTGGTTTTAGATTTGAATAAAAATCCCCTAAAGTAACTGTTATCAATAAATAATGAACAATAGACAATATTGTGAGTGCAGTTGTTGTCCTTCGTGGAAAAGTGCTAAAAATCCATAAACTTATTTCAAACAAGCAGCAATGAACTTTAGACTTGCATTAATTTGTTATAATTAAACAAGTGAGTTTCATATTAATATAGTAAAATTGAACTTTTATGATCATTATTCTATAAATTTTGTATCATTTAAAAAAATTCATGTTAGTGGTCTGTGAGGTCAGAAAGGTTGCAGACTGCTGATCTAGATGATGCCTTAAGATATGTCTGCCTACAACATTAAAAAGCCACATCAAAAGAATTAAATGCTAACTGAAAAGTTCACTATGTCTATGTTTGCAAATGTGCAGTTCAAAACTGATTAAATGTAATGAGCTACAAGTTTTGTAAAGTCAAAACAAAACCATTCACAATGAAACAACACATGAAAAACTTATGGAATGGGCAAGGTGTTACCAAAAGTGGACTATTAGACAATTTGTATGTCACAGAGCAGATGAAAGGTTTTGACGAGAATGTCTTTTGTATAAGAAGAAATTCCCAGTTAGTCTTATATGGAACGGTATGAAATTGTCTGACTGATTTCTCCTGAGTCAGTTAACCTTAGTAGTGGTATATATGACAGATAACACAGAAATACATTCAGGAAATCCTGCATCTTGATGTGTTGACTATTGTAGCAGGGCAGCAAATAGCCATTTTCCAGCAAAATAATGCTTGGCTATACACATCTTGACTTTCTAAGGTATGTCTCTCTCATGCAGTTGCACTTACTTGGCCTACCTAATTTCCAGCTTTTTCATTTATCAAGCATTTGTATGACCAGATGGAACACTGGCTTTAGAATCTACGTGTGAGGGATCTGGAGCAGCAGCTGCAAAATCTGTTGTAAGATAGTATATGCTCTACCATATCACTATACTTATACAGGCAAGAGAAGAGCTTATAAAGTACTAAAGATTCCTTTAAACTGTTCATTATTCCACAAGAAATTGTTCCTTTACCATGATATTGTAATCACTTGTTAGTTATTACCATCATCATTGCATTTACATTAATAAAGTTACACTGAATTCCAACACCTACTCCTTGATGCATTTTTTTGTCAATGAGTGCATGTATGTATGTATGTATGTCTTGTACTGTAATAATAATAAAATCCTTCATTATTTAGTAAAGCTTTATTGATATTACCAACTATTTGATAACATATTAGCACTTTTCTTTCTTCTTGTATTGTCAATTAAATGTTTTATTATTCATCTGATATTTCACCTGTCTCTCAATAATTTAAAATTTATTTCCTTTTTCTTTTACAGCTATATATTGATATTTGGCTATTAGTTTAGGACTTACCACACCATGGTATGATAAGTCCTAAACTAATAGCCAAATACATAGCTATAAAAGAAAATAAAGGAAAAAAGGACAAGAAGCTAATATGATAAATAATTAAATTTATTTGTTTTACAATCCTTGTAAGTTTTACATTTAACCAATCATCAAATATAAACAATAAGAAAAATAATTCAAAGACATAAAAATACAGGGTGTAATTTCATAAATAAATAAATGCTATTTTCAGGAACCAAACAAATTGTTTTTAATCAGAAACATATTCATTCCATTGCAATTTGAAAAAAGAGTTTCTGCTGAGATGTTCTTATAAAAGAAAAACAAACTTTTCTGATTAAAAACAATTTGTTTGGTTCCTGAAAATAGCATTTATTTATTTATTTAATATGGTGCCAAGTACAAGTGTCATTTCATTTTCCTTCAGTTGTGACCAGACACTAAGTTGATAGTAATCCAACAGTTTGCTCCAAATAAAGTTTGAAGAATGCCAAAATTTGGACAATAATAGTTTCAATTGGAAAAAAAAAAAAAAAAAGAACTGAAACTCTAAAATTTAACTTTTAAAATTAATTTTGAAAGCATTTTTAATCTAAAATAAAATTGAGATACTCACTCAGTAGCTACATTATCTTGTTTTTGAATAAATCTCTTAGTTCTATCTAATGTTAGACCATTTCCTTCTGGAAATGATTTTGAACTTGATGTGGATGACGATGAAGAAGATGACAACTGTTTTATTGAAGGAGGATATTTTCCACTGGCTACTGAATTCCATGATGATGTACCTCTTGTTGTTAATGGATCCATCATTTCTTGAGCTAAAGAGTAAGTGAGAATATTTAT